TACATTCGATTTATTTTACATCTGACTGGAGAGCTTGCTATTTAGTGATGTCACAAAATAGATTTACCCCCTCCCCCCCAAAAAAAGCCAAGCTTTGAAGATTCGGCGCGTATTCCAGAGGTCCGAGGCTCGAGTCCCGGATGAGAGCATTGCACATTTGTTACGTCTCTTTCTTCCAAAATATCCTAATGTCGCAGAGTGGCGCCCGAACTGTAAAAGGTGATGGTTGATGATTCTCCACCACCAGGATTTGGCGATTGGGTCCCCTAATCCTTAGTCGCCCTTTAAAAAGGGGAGTATATAAGGTGTTTCTCCTGCCTTCTTAGCATGCTTTCGTCGTGTAATGATCAGTACACTCGACGCACTGAATATTTCTTCAGTTTCCTGCTTCAAAAAAGAATCTAATGTCTCACAATATATCCTAACAATTCTTATCCGAAATGAGACTTGGGACAGTTAAAAATTGCCAGAACAAAAGATAAACATATTTTGAAACATGTTAGAAGTAGAAGTTATTTCAAAAATGCTACATTCGATTCTGGGCAAGAGCACTGTGTGTTTCCCTTGATACTTTGATTGATGCCCACACGCTTACGAAAAAAAAAAAAAAAAAATGAAGCATATTTATCAGAACTTTTACACACGTTTGAAGTGTTATTTTTTTTTCAAATTAACAAAAGAAAATCCGTCCAATTTAAATAAGCGCTGGTGAAAATCCACGATGTCCAAAACTTGTTTTATGTGATCGATGTTAGAAAACTGCGTACAGGGATTCCCAGCCTTTTTCTTGCATCGTTCCCTTTTAAAGGAATGGTTTTCTTTATCGACCCCCGTACATTTTAATAATTTTACAAATATAAAAAAATCTTCAAAAACACAGTCGCAGATTCTAATAGTACACAGTTCAATTTTAATGAACTTGATGGCTACTCTGGATACAATGATGCAATTGTTTTTTTAATATTTTCCATAAAATTGATTGACTTAGATTTTGAGTCAAATATATTCAACCTGTTTCTTGTTTTCAGTTCTACTTTTGCATTCTACGAATTTTGTTAATTGTGTTTTCTCGTGTTATCACGTTTTACTTTTTTATATTGCTCTAACTCCATAAAAAATTATATCATTTTAAAAAACATTACTGATTTAAAAAATATATTAGAAAATTTTAGTATTATCTTTTCCCTTATTTATATGATTTCTCTCTTACTATGTAATACAATTTTTTATGAATGAATAATTATATGAATAATTATTTTTTGTAATCAATGGGATTCTGATTATGCCAATCATTTGCTGATTCCAATTCAGCTATCGACTCCCAGTCGACTCCTTGATTATTATTGACCTGCTTTAAAATTTCATCGGCTCGCAGGAGGTCAGTACCATTGGAAACTTCTGTTGTAAGCAAATAAAAGGAATCATTTAAAACAGAGGTGGGCAAAGTGGCCTTTTAATAACCTAATCCAGCCCGTTATGAAATCCTAAGCAACGACATTTTCATCTCTTCCCTACCCAATTCTGTGCGCAAATTAATTGAGATCAGGAGCAAGAATGTTCATCAATTGTTACAACGAATATGCGCATATACTATATGCACGACTATCAGCCTGAATAAATTGAGAATACCAGACATGCTAGCAAACATGTGTACGTTCGAAGAATATAATTCTATTATTTCTAGCAGCTTTATCCCGGATATTCGGAAACAGAAAAATATTTTCAATGCATTTTTTAATATCTTTTGGGGGTAATTGTTTTTAGAGAAGTGCATTCTGAGAACTGAGACTTCCTTTTCTTTAGGCCAAAAGGGCGTTACCCTAGGACTACTAGTCTCGAAACGGCATTTTGCGTCGAATGACTATATACAACTGTATCACTTTTCAAATTGTTGCCGCCAAATATTATCGCCCTGTATTATATTTAGAGAAATTAAATAATGAAGAATCTGCAGGAATGTATGTATGTTTCTCGCCCCGTGAAAAAACAACGGTATGTAGAGACATCAAATTTTCAATATTGCTGTCCTAAACCCAAACATGGACACCTGGAAGACAGAATTTAAAATTTTTTTTATTGTCTATTTTATATTTTGTAAAACTTTAACAAATTTTTGGTTAAAAAACTCAACAGTTTCAAAGCGAGCAGTGTAAGGAATAAACACTTTTATCTCCAGCGCACGAGACTGTGGATTGGAAATTCTAAACATATGCTATTATAATATAAATATTTTTTAGCCCAAATACTCTCGAAACGTGTATGTATGTGTGAATGAGAAAACCGCCTCTTTGGGCGTAGTAATATAAAATCTGAATTCAGATTTTATTTTTCTTTTGTTTTTCTTTTCTTATTTTTCTTTATGTATTTTTTAAATCTATGATTTGGGATAAAATCCTAGCTTTGGATAAACAATTGCTCGAATATTGGCATATGCAGAGCTTAATTTCTAAAATTTGAGGTATCGGAGTCCTACATAAAGCCGTTAGGAAAAGCAAACAAAAATTTATAAACAGAATAGCTAATAAAATAATTACTGATTAAATAAATAATATAATTGTAGTAAATTTTTTTTAACGTAAAGATATAAATAAAAATTTATGAGCTAAATTAATGATAAACAGTTGAATAAAAAAATTGAACTTGTCTTATTTTGAATTTTGGCTAGAATTACAGCGTCACTCGAAAACTAAGGAATAATACAATCAGTTTCTGGCTGAATTCTGGTACACCAATAAAAAAAAATCAAAATAGTTAACCCTTCGGGGACGATGTTTCCGTCTTGTGAACAGCATATTTGACACTCCCCCCCAAAAAAGTACAACTTTCTATTAAAAAATATGTCTGTTTTTCAAAAAATACGTTATATTTTGCTTTTTATTCAAGACGGTAGTACCACTGAAAATTATATTTCTATTCTAAAACAGTGTTGAAATGCATGAATTTCTAAGGCCTAGTAATTTTTGATTTTTCAGAATAGAAAAGCACACCATGAAGAAATATTAGTCATCATTTCAGTTTTTTATGTCTTAGACTTCAAAAAGAAGAATTAACTGAATTGCCAGTAAAAGCAGTTTTTGTCGCTGAAGTACTTACTCTTCCTCCCTCTTGAAAATGTTTTGAGTCTGTCAATCATAATATTGCCTTTTCCCTCTTGAATTTATTTTTGTGTATTTTTTACAAATTACTTTTCCAACTCAATACAAGTTAGTGTAATGGTAACAACTACTTTAAATCATTTATTTTAAATTTAAGTATCTTTTTTTTATATGTGTGATTACAACACACAAGAAGTAATTAAAAACTTCGAGCACTCTCATTAGACTAGGGACGTACAGGTTTGTCATTTTGGCTTCATTGGCGAAACTAAAAAAATCTTGGCGAGAAAGTAATCGCTCAAAAGGCTAAAATCTGGTATGAAGTTTGCATGAAAGTTGAAAGTTTCAATTAATATGCAGCCTTTTTTTTTTCTTTGACTAAAAAATTAAAATAAATTTTCATTGAAATATTTAAAAGTTTTTCTTTTGGTTTCAAAATTACATATTACATAATCTTACATTATGTCTTTAATGATAATTTTTCTGCAGATGATATTAGACATGTTTATATTTTGTTTTCAAAAGTATTGTTTTGTATATACTTACTTATTTTTTTACATATATAGGATTATATGAAATTTATTACTTATGAATTTCAATTTTTGATCTTTGCGAAAAATTGGTCCTAAATTTCTTACTTTATGTCTTTACTGATAATTTTTCAGCAGCTTAAATCGCAAAAATACTAGGGGCATTATTATATTATTTAAAAAAAAACTGTTTCGTAATATATATATATATTAGAAATTCAACGAAGTTTTAAGAGTACAAATATTTTTTAAATAACAAAATTAGCTGTTATTGAATGAATGTAAACTTTTGTAGTTATTTTGTTATTCTAAATCATTTCTATTTTTATGCTTGTATTTATGTATTCATCATCTTGTATCGTAGTGTGCATCTTTTATTGCACTGATATCAACTATTTCTATCGTATTATGTTAAAATATTGTTTATAGTAAGATTACAAGTAATTATATAATACATTTCTAAGATTATATAGTAAAACAGTAAATTTCAAAATAGCGGGCATGCCTGTCAGAGTGCTTCTCCTATATGCAGTTATGTGCTTTGTGAGTTCTAGATGGGTGGAGTTCTCGTCTTGAGATCATATGATTCCAAACGGAACGGATCATATGATTCCAAACGAAGAATTTTTCAGAAAAATGTAAATATTTTTTTTCGATGAAAATATTTTAATTATGCCAGAATGTTATAAAAAAAGTAACATCTTTTGTGTATATTTAGTTATTTTTTAATATTGCTCCTCAAAGTGTTAAATCATCACTAATGAGATTAGAAAGAATACTGGAAATAGTATGAGAGTATGGAAGGAAATTTAAGCAGTGTAAGCATGGAAACAAGGAAAGAAGAAACAAAACAGAAACACAGACAGTCATGCATTCAGAAGTTATAATTTAAGTTTTTAAGATTGATTTATTACTGAAACAAAATTTTGCGAGACCAGAAAAGTTTTCTTCAGAAATTGTCGTTCCATTGCATAAAAGAACTGCCACACCTGTCTTATTTAGGGCTACAATGCGATTCGCGTATAATTACGATTTATTTCGTAAACTGTACCAGCACCTGGCTCCGGTGGGATGCGGCGCAATTTAAGTTCTGTCCGTGTGTAGAGAGTGTGTATCGCGCAGTGCAAGTTCTTTGATATGCATGATGAAACCGGATAAATGCGGAACAGCCCACACGAAAAAGGAAGGAAATGGGAGGGAGAGCGGCGTGCAGGTGTCAGCGGATGGGCATGTCCTCAGTTTGTTCACTGACCACTTGCCTCTCTGCCGATGTTCCTGCATCACATTTTCTCGGTGATTTATTGAGCTGAATTAAATGTCTGTCCCCGCAGGCTCTACAATGTATGCTTTATTAACATCTGTTTTCAATTTTCAGCCAGCCCTAGTGAGGACACCTTCTTGTTCGGCACTGCCCAACCGACCGACGGTGTCCAATGCAGCTCAAAGTCAAGATCGTGTCCCCCCTCCCAAGCCACCACCTCCGCCCAAATGCAAGACCATGCAACCTCCACCGCCACCACCTCCTCATCAACCGAGGTACACGAAGCCGCCACCGCAATGTTCGCCTGCGAGACCACCACCACCTAAGGTAAGTTCCGTCATTCTAACGCTCTTATGTTGAATACAGTAAGCGTCTCAAGATCAATTCCTTCCCCCCCCCGGCCTGCCTCGTAACGATGGTAGCATGTGCTAAGAAAGTTAGTCACCTCACTTCGCCACACACATTATCTTCTTAGCGTGGTTGCATTCTGTGAAGTACGTTTCATTTGCATGATCTGCTACAGTAAGCCAGTGGTAAGCAACATCTCCCAAAGGAACTTTATTCGGCCCGTGAATACATATCAGCTATGTATTTGTTGCAAATATGGTTATGCAATGCCGAGATTTTAATTAGTTGAAATTCGGGTTTATATTATTTTCATTTCCATTAAAAACGAACATGAATAAAGCACCCGAAAACCTAAAAACTTAGCTAATTAATTTACTTATTTAATTCTTACCTGAAAAAAATAAGTAAGTTCGGATACGAATTAATCGCTTTATCTGAGAATACATTTATTTCACATCTGAAAATTAATACGAAAAGAACCCGATTGACTGACGAGTTTTTAGTTTAAACTAAAGTAAGTTATTTAATGATTAAAATTAAATATGTCAGAATAATTTTGAAGAAATGTCAGTCATGGAATTTAATGTTAAGCTATCAGTATATTTGAATTATAAAGTGTAACAAATAAAAATCTCCTCCAGGTACCAATCTTTATACTTCAGAAATAAAATAAACATAAATTGGAATTTTTTCCTTTGCGATATTATTATTGTTAGTTTAAAGTAGCTCTTTGTCCCTTAGGGACAATTGTTTTCGTTTTGGATTTTTGCGTCCAATCACTCTGAATGTCCATTTCCCTTTCCAATCTGTTGCCAACAAATATTATAGCCATGTCAGTGCTTGGGGATCCAACATGAGATGAACGTGATCGTTAGGCTGCCTTCATACGGGTTTCAGTATCTATATATTATAGCCCTGTATTATATTTGAAGAAATTAAATAAGGAATAATCTGCATAAATGTATGTATGTTTCTCGCATTGTGATAAAACAACGGTACCTAGAGCCATCCAATTTTGAATGACGTAATCCTACTGCGAATATGGGCATTTGGAAGCCCAAATTTGAAATATGGAAATTTGTTTTATTATCGATTTCATATTTTGTAAAACTTTAACGAATTTTTGATTAACAAACTCAACGATTTAAAAGCGAGCAATGGCAACACTCTACGTGGGAAAAAAAAAAAAAAAACCTTTTTATCTCCAGCACGTGGAACTGTGTATCGGAAATTCTAAAGATATGCTCGATTTAAAATTATTTTGCGATATTGCTCTTGAACTGAATTTTATGGTTAAAGTGCGAAGAACATGATATTGAATAAATAAAGGTAACGCACAAAATTTTAAAAATAAGTGCCCCTTTAGACGTAATTTAAAATCTGATTTTTTTTAAATGTCTGTTTTTATAAATAAGCAAAATTTAAAATTTATTTCAAATATTTTTTATTTTGGTAATTTGATTTTTCATTTCATAAAAAGAAATAAATGAATAAAAATAAGTAAATCTGATTCGTCAGCTGTTATCAGATCTTGCAATTGAGCCCATACTAAATACCCAGTTTACTAAAGCTTTACCGTAATAATGAGTTAGTTACTATAAATTTTAGGCATATGCGAAAGTAGCAATGTTATTGGGATTGTCTTAAATAGAGTTTAAAATTATTTACAAATAATTTCGTCACAGATATGATATTTATTATTTATATATATGATATTATTAAAATTCTCTATATTTGTTTACCATAGCGACACTCTTGCGCTAGGTTCACTTAGCAGCGTTATATCTCATTCATTTTATAACTGATAATGCACAGAATTTATATTGTTTGAAGAATTATTTAATCATTGCCACATGTTCTATTCAAATACTATAATAAATCTAAAACGACGTATAAAAGAATTAAGGAAACAACAACAACAAAAAAAAGAAAAAAAGAAAAGAAAAGAAAAGAAAAAGAAGCAGTTTTTTACAGGCGTTTCAGTATTTCTCATTCAATTAATTCATTTCTTACTTTGCGACAAGGCAAAAATACATAAAAACTCAAAAAATCTATATTTAAAATTACGAAGTAAATCTTAAACACTTATTTCCTCGAATAAATTCCAGAATGGATAAGCAGATTCCAGATTAGCAACAAATCCACTATTCTGCTAAGTTTCAAATGTAAACAAATATAGCTGCTGTGGTAAAAATAATTAGGCTTAGCCGCACTGAAACAACTTTTAAACTGTTGATAATTCTACAAATATTGCATGCAGATTTACTAAAGGCATAAAAATCTTAACCGGGAGATATGAACAACATAATTCAATCAATCATTTTTAAAGCAACAAATGCACAGTTCAGAAACATATAGCTATAAACTGACTGAGATCACTGAGACGAGTAACAGAGTGGATATATTGTAGAGATATTATTTTAATATGGAAAAGCCGGAGAGATAAAAAAGTAGCAACCACCTTTGCCGGGAATCGAACCACGGACCTCTAGAATACCGGGCCAGCGTGCAGAACCACTACACCACGAAGGTACGCCAGGAAAGCGGGAGAAATACCTTATATACTCCCCTTTCTTAAAAGGCGACTGGGGTTTTTAGGGGACCCTATCGCCAAATCCTGGGTGTGGAGAATCCTCATCCAACATCCTTTTAATTCGAGAGCCACTGTAGAGAAATTAAGTTAATTGGAAAAGCCAGAGAAATGAAAAATTAGCAAACGCCTTTCCCGGGGGAATCGAACCATGGACCTCTGGAATACCGGGCCAGCGTGCAGAACCACAGCACCACGAAGGCACGCTAGGGAAGCGGAAGTTTGGTTTGGTTTGGTTTATGGCGAAGCACACTAGGGCTATCTGTCTAAGGAGGGATGCCTTCGTGGAGGACTTTCTAAGGGAAACTGGCTCGTATACACGTTACACATGGGGAAAACCACGAAAACGCCCATGCAGCCAGCCCAGTCGCGGGATTCGAACCTCAGACCGAACTACCAGTGTTCAGCGACTTTACCGCTCGGACGCTGGTGGGAGCAGGAAAGCAGGAGAAATACCTTACAATATATTTATAACATATATTTATATACTTTTGGTGCGGCCAATTGCAACCAAAAAGGGTGTGTGTGCACATCTACGTGTTATAGCTGTCCCACGTACAAAATACGTACGTACAGATACCACGAAATTAACTCTTCTGAATCTATTTTAAATCAGCTTTATAATTTTTTGGGGGAAAAAGAGTCCTTCATTCTGTCCTTACGTACAGATGTCACGCAAAAACATCGTTAAATTACATTCGATAGTGGTCAAAATTTTCGTTGAAATATGATACCCGAAATTTTTCGCGATTACAATACTTCCTTTTAACGTCGTACAAGGAAGTAAAAATAATATTTTTATGTTATTTTATCGTGTTATACATGAATCGTATTATTAAATATTTATTCTCTTCCAAAATATTTTAATAGTTCCCCCGAAGTTTAATTTTTTTACTATTTTGCCTAAATTTAGAATCATATTATTTTAGTCTAAAAGCAGCAGTGTATTTGAGAGGGGTTGTGATTACTAAAGAAGATTTGTGAACTGAAATAAAATTCCAATCATGTGCATGCCCAAAAGTTGGAAGAAATCAGAACGCAAAAACCTGCATTTTCGCTTTAAAATGTTTTTTTATCTAATTTAGACGGTTATTCTCATATTAGGCGACATAAATATATGTCACTTAATGTAATCGCAGTTAATGCTATCATTTGAATATTGATATCGAATTACTGATGCCTTGTATCGATTTGTGATGTTCTTTTGTATACGAAAACATGGGAAATACACCGCTTATTGTGATGAAAAATTCGGTTACTAGGATAAAAATATTAGAGATTAAAATTTTTCGTCACCGAATAAGCTTAAAATGCTTTATCAAAATTACCAAATTGCGCAGAAATGTAGGCAAATAAAAAATTAAATCGCCAAACACATTAATTTCGATTTTAGTCAAATATTCAAAATTTGGAAAAAATAAAAGAATGGAAAAACTTAGTTTGATACGGATTGTGAATAACTTTAACGATTTTGAGGGTATCCAACACAGGCCCCTCTTCTCCAGGAGCAAAAAGAAGGGAAAAAAAGGTGTCTGCAGAATTTTTTCCGCCTCAAAATCCCTACACCAAACTCAGGTTGCTTTTTTCCTAAATTTAAATCTTAATATTAGCAAGTTCTCTTCTAATGAGGAATGTCCTCCGAGTATTAAGATTAGGGGTACAGCATCGCTTAAATAATTTCCAGAAACGTTATAAACCGTTCATAAGAGAACTTTTGCATAAAAACACTACGGACAGTTTATAAATAAACTTTTGGTTGTACTTAATTAAAATGCTGTAAAAATATTTCTTTATATGTTTCTAGTTACATTTATATTAAATTAGTTAAATTCGATTTCTATTTTGAAGGGCTTTTTTTACTTCTATGAAATAAAGGAAGTATTGTAATTGCGAAACATTTCGGTTATTAGATCTCAAAGGAAACATCCATTTTAACAGTTCCCGAATACAGTTTGACTATTTTTTTTTTTTTTTTTTTTTTTTTTTTTTTTTTTTTTTTTTTGCCTGACGACTGTACACACGGATAGAATAAAGGATTCTTTATTCCAAACTGGATAGTAAAATAGATTGAAAATGGATTTTTTTTCGTGACGTATGTATCCCATATAATTCAAAAACGATTAGCAACGGAACGTTGAAATTTTGTGTATAGAATTGCTATAACAGTAAGTTGTGCACCTCCTTTTTACTTCCTTGTACGAAGTAAAAAGGAAGTATTGTAATCGCGAAAAGTTTCAGGCAGCATATTTCAAAGAAAATATCCATTTTGACCGCTATCGAATGCAATTTAACGATGTTTTTGCGTGATATCTGTACGTAAGGACAGAATAAAAGACTCGTTTCCTCCAAAAAAATTATAAAACTGCTTTAAAATTAATTCTGAAGAGAATTTTTCGTGGCGTCTGCACGAACGTATATACGTACGTGCTTACGTACGTATCTCACATAACTCAAAAACGAGTAGCCTCAGAACGTTGAAATTTTGTATATAGGACTGCTATAACATGTTGATGTGCACCTCATATTTTGGTTGCAATTGGCCGCACCAAACGTATATAAATACTATATTTATATATATCTATATATCCATTGTTACCCGGCTCAGTGATCTCAGTTTCTTTACTCTTATATGTTTGTAAATTGTACATTTTTTGCTTTAAAAATGATTGAATTATGTTGTTGTTCTTATCTTCCGGTTAAGGTTTTATGCCTTTAGTAAATTCTGGAAGCAATATTTGTAGAATTATCAACAATTTAAAAGCTGTTTAAGTGCCGGTTAAGTTTTAAATAACATGGCGGACATATTTGTTTACATTTGAAACAGCAGAATTGTAGATTTGTTGCCAATCTAGAGAGACTAAGCTTCGCAACAACAAAAATAACGCCTTCATTTATTATTGCGAAATTAAATCATGCTTAATCCTTTCTGGAACTTTTTCGAGGAAATAAGTGTTTAAGATTTACTTAATTTTTAATAATTAGTAATTTAATTTTTAATACAGATATTTTGAGTTTTTATGTATTTTTGTCTTGTCGCGAAGTGAAAACTGAATTAATTGAATGGGAAATACTCAATCGTTTGTGAAAAACTGTTTCTTTTTTGTTTTGTTTGCTTAATTTCTTTTTTACATCGTTGTAGCTTTATTATAGTATTTGAAAAGAACATGTGGCAACGATTAGATAATTCTTTAAATGATATACATTTTGTGCATTCTGAGCTATAATATGAATGAAATATAATACTGTTAAGTGAACCTAGTGCCAGAGTGGTGTCGCAATGTTAAACAAATAGAGTGAATTTTAAAGAATGCCTTTATTCTATTGTGGTTTATGCGCTGTCGGCGAAGTAGATTTAATTAAATCCAATAAGTTTAAAAGAAATGCAAGAAACAAATGCGTATAATTTAATATTCCGTACAAGGAAGTCATGTGGTGTACACATCAGATTTTTTTTATTGCAATTGGCAGAACCAAATATGTATATATATATATATATATGTCATAATAAAAGCAAAGGAAATGACGGAACACTGTAGGTCGGTGATCTAAAGATCCATACTGAAGAAGAATTTTAATTGCGTAGTATTTAAAGAACTTGGCAGTCGAGGCAGTTTTAATTCCATTTTTATTTCCAATTGATATTTGTGGCCACAATCACTTGGCACTCTAGTCGTGCCTTTCCACAGAAGATTTACATTTTTGATATTGTTGAGATAGAAAGCAAGCCAGCGAAATTACATCTTAGCAGAGTAGAGGGCAAAGCTGAAGTGCGTAGTTAGGCAAGATGGAGGCACGCGAAGAGAAAAGTTTTGGTTTACAAGGACAGTTTCAGTTCCCCATGATTACGTCATCAGAGCTGCGCCGATCATATATATCTTACATATATATATATATATAAGATAAAAAATATGTGAATCAAAATTATAATTTAAACTAACGGTAACCCTTTAATTTCTCCTTCTCTATTCTAAAAATCGTAATAACTTCTCTGGATTGCGTCATTTCTAGATCATTCCATTTAGTATGGCCTGCGCAGCGCAAAGCTGATGACGTAACAATGGGAAACGGAAACTTTTTAACTTAAACCAAAACTTTTCTCTTCGTGTGCTTCCATCTTGCGTAACTACGCACTTCAGCCTCGCACTTTACCCTGCTAGTATGTAATTTCGCTGTCTTGCTTGCTATTGGAATAATATCAAAAATACAAATGTTCTCTGAATAGGCACGACTGCCAAATGAATTGTGGCCACAAACGTCAACTAGAAAATAAAAATGGAATTAAAACTGCCTTGAATGCCCAGTTTTAAGATATTACGAAGTGAACATATTAGAAACTACGCAATCGGAATGCATCCTTTTCAATATGGATCTACGTATGCGTCAACACTGTTCCGTCTTTTCCTTGCTATTATTACATATATACATACATATCTATATAAAGACATAAAGTAAGAAATTCAGGATTAATTTTTCACAAAGACCAAAAATTGAAATTCATAAGTAAAATTTCAAATAATCCTATAAATGCAATAAACAATTTAAAAAATATTGAAAACCAAAACTCTTTAAACAAGCAATACCCCAATTCAAAAAATCAATGAAATTTAAAGATAAACGAACATAATAGAAGAGGAATTCATTCAACTTCAATGACACATCGTCAGGAGGAGGAACACTGAAATCAATTAAAATTTCTCTTTCAGAAAAATCCTTGCTTTTCTGTATGCAGAATTAGCCGATGAACCCTTTCAATGTATTTTAATTATAATAGTTCACGCGAAAATTCTGGTCCCTCCCCAAAGCAAGGAAAAAACAAAGTTAATTCTAATTATCATCTTGTACCTTAAATAACTTTATTTAAAGAATGGAAAATGTAACTGAAAAAATAAAATATTTCAGTGATAAATTCAAATCAAAATTTTACCTTTAAACAAATAGCACATAACCCAAAGAACTTAAAACGTAATGAAATTATAAAATTTTAATGAAAAGACTTAATTAAAACTCACAAGAAGTAATTAAAACCTTCGAGCACTTTTATTTAGAATACAGTCAAAGTTATGAATAAGATAGTTACGATAGTGACATATAGGTTTGCCATTTTGGCTGTATTGGCGAAACTAAAATACCTTGGCAAGAAAGTAATCGCTCAAAAGGCTAAAAATTGGAACAAAAGATGGAATTTTGAAGCCAAAAGAAAAAATTTTTAATACTTCTATGAAAGTTTTAATTTTGACAAAGAAAAAGATTACTTTAGTAATTAAAATGAAATTTAAGTAAATTCTGACTCTTTTATATACACCCACCGCCCTTACCCGGCCTTTATTTTCACAACTGTTAATCGTAGACATATAATAACAATTACAGAAGTGTTTTAAACGACGAAAATATTCATGTTTTGGAAATATCAAATTTTAAAAAATTAATTTTGAACAAATAACGAAATTTAACTTTTTGTACGGTCTCCCAGTTCCTCTACTTATGTTTGGGAAAGTTTTATACTCGTTATGAAAAAATGAAAATGTAAGAAGTTTGACTCTCATACGGCAAAATTTGATCGGGATATTTAATTTCAAGATTTGCAGTTTTTGATGTCATTCCAACTTGGCTTGAGGAATCGGTTAATTAAGTTAGACTAATTCGAAGAAATAACCCTAAATGAAGAGCAGCAAAAAATATGTACAATTCAATACGCTGTACAAGAACGTCATGTGGTGTCCACATCATACTTTTTGTTCATCGTTTAAGTTATCACTTGATTAATGTTATTTAAACAGCCGTAGACAAACATGATCATCTTTAGCGGCGCCTATTGTAGGTAGATTTTACAGTCGGACTTGTACGTATGTTTGCAGTCTGGCTGAATCAATCAAACTAAAATGCGGCGAACAAGAAAAACCAACAAAATTTTACTTCTCTATTTACATTCGGAATTATTTTACTGTGCAAAGGTTAGTGAAAAATTCTTTCCCTTTTAGATTCCTGATATGAAGTTTAGTGGTCAAACCAGTGGTTATTCGAAAGAAGAACATCAGACGAAACTGGACAAAGACTACGCAAATCTGGGTAAGAGAAATATTATGCTTCTTTTATTAATTAGCATAAGGATTCCCAATATTTTTTTTCATTCACCCCATTCAAAAGAATAGTTTTCTTCATGGAACACCCCTTACATTTTTCTTTATATTTCTCTTTAATCATAATATAACACAAATAATTTAAAAGTAACAATTACGAATAACAGTAAGAATATTGCTACATGCGTAGGGGTTCATAATGAACTGAATGCACTCAGAATCGATGAAAGCCTGATGAAATTTATTTTTCCAAAAACATTTCTGGAATTTTTCACATAAAAATATTCTTACTGCTTTTCTCGGTATGATAGGGCACAATCAGTTGTTGCCACTTGAAACTACTCTGAACGTTGAACACAATGCAATGTAAAGGACATCTAAAAAGCGAAACTGTGATCTATCAATACTCCTAACTCAAATGAAAACTATTTTTCTGTCCGGTATTATATAGTTTTCTCCTGTCATCGAGAAATTTGAATATCTTTGACTTCTCCAAACTGCTGGAAGGCATACTCAGTTACAGTTACATAGGGCTGGATATAGTTACAGCTACACGGAGTTCGGACAAAATTGTCACCAAATGTTCACGAAGCTTGGCGACTTTTGGCGATTTTTCGTTAAATCTGGGAACAAAGATTAGTCACCAAGACCATTTCCAGCTTGGCGCTATCTCGTCAGTTTGACTCATCGAGTATAATCAAATACTCCGTGTTAAATTATACTCCATGGTATGATTATACAGCCATTTACCTCAATGTTAAGTGAAGTTGAGACGTTTTCTTTTTAAATTCTACCGTTATAATATCTCTTCGGTTAATGATTGATGTGGAATTCCATTTATTATTTGTAAATATTATTGCTGCACGTGGTAGGGATCTTCTCATGTTACGATTTGCTGAAACACTTTCCACGACTGGGGAATTCTTATTTGACCATTATTACAGTAAGGTTCTTGAAGGCATATAAAGTCTGTTGGATGAAGGGAGATGTGTTAAACTAATTGGTCCATGGCTGTTTTAGCTTTTTTAAGATTCGTTTATATAAATGTTATAGGATTGGTATTGTTAGTGACTTTCACTATTGCTGTCTTTAATACTGAATTTTGTGATTATAGCATTTCACTGTTGAAGTTACTTGGCACTGAATTATAATGCTGTTTAGTTGTAAGGACTTCCTTATGCATGCTGTAATCTGTTGCGGCTCTTTTCTAATCTGTCTGTGGTAAAGGCGGCAAATGCGTAGGCTGTATGCATCGTATTTAAGCTTGCCTCGTTCGCAGTGTTGTAGAGCTTACAGTTTACACATTCTGGGATGTCAGCTCTGCACTTCATAATGGCGTGGTGCTCACCACAAAAAGCACAATACCTTCTATATTTTCACATGAGGTGTGAATGTTCGAAATATTGACATTGATTGCATCGTCTAAAGCCGTAGAACTCTGCTAAGGGACGTATGGTCCAGTTGAAGTTAGTACCCTCTTTTCTATACATGCAATTGAGGATGGCAGAGGAACACTCGGAGATCCATTTTTTAGTGATGGTGAGCCTTCCCTTTATTTTGAAGAGAGGGGGTATATCCTCTTTCTCTGCAACTGATCAACTAGTCCTGTAACTAGTAGTTCCTATGGAGGGAGAAGGTGTTATATGCTACGTAGTTGATTGAGATCTTTGATTTCCTTTACTTCGGTATTTTAATTTCGATTAAATTTTTGTTCAATTCTCAGAATTGCTTTTCGCAATATCTGAGCAGATCTTTTATATACAATTTTTTTTTTATTTCGGCAAGAGATCTTTTATTTATTTTTCAAATTTTATTAGTATGTTATGGGTTGTAAAACTCAGTGAATTAAAAGCACTTTAATGTTCTTAATTTTCTTAGCAATATAAAACCTTATTCTACAGAGGGTGTGTTTAAATATTCTTAGAGCGATTTCTTGAACATTTAATTAAGGTTTAAAATGTAAAGAATTTTTTTTATGTTTTATTTGATTTTTTTCCCCCTGGAATCGTGATTTTCATGATAGAAGGACTTTTCATAAATTTTCCAGGGGTATTCATTTCCATTACTTTCCAGAGTCCATCAATCATAGTCGATTTGTCCTTAGAAAAAGCATTTTTAAGGCACGATAGTCCACGGGTAAAAAGTCAAGGAAATTTGCAGGAATATGTTGAAAAGATTTATATGCAATACTCGTATCACGCTTCATTTTTTCAAGAAATGAGTTACGTTTCTAAGTACAACTTCTTGCTTTGTCATGATGAAGTTTCATTCTTTAAAATTCATTGGAATAAAAAAATGAAATTCCTTCAATATTTACAGACGAAATGTTAAGATACAGTACATTTACAGAAGTATTTCATTATATTTACAAAAGCTAAATTCTTGCTTCATCAACGGCCATAATATAATGTATTTATATTTATCTCCGGATAATTAGTTTTCAGACGGGATTCTACAAATTCTCCAGCGTAAAGCCACATGTCTCGGTTAAAGATGGCGAACATTATGATTTTTAATTTTTTAAGCTGTTAAGTTCAGTTTATTATTTTATTTATTGTTCCTACAGATGTATTCTTATAGATGTATAGAAGACTTATGCTACGTAGCAAAAGACTTATGCTACGCAAATGATTTCTTTGTCGGCAATTTACCAACAATTTAACGAAACATTAGAAATAATGCGTACATTTTTCGCGTATTCGTTTGGAGCCTTCTTTCCGTGTACAAGTAATGCTTGACGACTTTTCCTTTTCCGAATAATAATGCCATTCATTTTGCATTTAGAAATTTCAACAGCATGCATTTCACAACGTCTTGAATTATGGAATAGCGATATTTCTCTTCGAAAAGCGCGAAAAAAAAAAAAAGCTCTTCAATCCACAGCCTGTTTAAATGCGACATTTTGATAAAAGAATAGATTTAAAACAAGCAGACGCTATATCTTATTTCAAACAATAAGCCAGAAATTATTCTTTCTAAACATTTTTTTAATAGAAATCATTCTAAAAATGTGATAATATCGTCTGTACGTAGGAAAGGGAGGTCATGTTTTCAGCGTGTTAAAAGCGCGAAATTTTCAATTTTGGATTCTCGAATCTTAAGATTAGGATTCTCGAATCTTAAGATGCGTAGTGTTTTTCGAATTCGAATGTTGAAATTCCGAAAAGTGCTACCTGTAAGAAATGTTTCTGTGGTGACATCAGGTTTTTTTTAATTATTATTATTATTAACTGTGCTTAAAATAATCAAGGGAATCCGTATTTCTTTGCAGGCGATATTCGTTCGCTGCTAACCCCCAAAAAGCCCCAACGTCCATCAGCCTTCTCTGTGAATAGAGACAGCGAGATGGAACAGAAGACTGAAGAAATTTACGAAACCTTGCAAGTGGCGGAGGAAGAAGATCACTACACATACCTAGACGAATCGGAGGTAAGCAGATTTTCGATTACCTGGCTAAGAAATCTTCCTTACTGTGATATCGCATATAATTATTTGCTTTGTAAAAGAGGGATACAGTTAAGTCTACGACTTACGTAAATTCGCAGTTACATAAGCCTTTTCAAACTAAAACCTACCATTTAAAACTAAGGACTCCGTATATGGGATCTTTTAAATCCACTTTAAAGGATGCTTACAAAAATCATCACCATCAATTGACATACATTTAACTGTGGAAGTATCAGAAGTAAAATTGCGAAAATTAAAGAATGCAAATTCGATCTCTTTAACATATACCAAATGAAAGAGAAAAACTAAAAGTACTATTTATAACAGTATATGTGTTGATGAATGAAATTATCACATTATATGTGTTGATAAATGCATGAAACGCCGTCTTTCTATAGAATGCTAGGGTATTTTATAGCATGACCGACTTTTTTAGGTATCAAGTATGCAAGTATAATTTTATGAATTTTGTATACTAGCAAATAATTTTAGTGAAATTATATGTAATTTGTAGTATCTCTTGTGTAAGTAGTAGGAAAAAACTGAGAAAGCTAAGCATCGCCGGTAGAAGTAGGGGTAGTGGGGTAAGTCCATTTAATACGAGGTAAATGGTGCCGAGATAAGGCAAAGCTACCGATGGTTTTGGCGATTAATTTCACCTATTTGGCGCGAAATTTACTTTTGCATTAATCGTAAGAGCTCTTTTGTTTGAAATTATCACTATCTCGAGCGCATACCTTCAAATAACAATACTTGAACTTTCATTTCGATTGGTTAAGCGGATAGGCCGCTAGGGGTTTATATATCGGGGACTTTTCTTTATGTATATATATGCCCTGTACATGTGCATACATATATATATGTATATTCATTTAGACTTTAAAATTACCTTCTGGTAAAATAAAATCAGTAGATACGATCATATATCTCAGAAACGAATGGAGGAGAAGTGCAGCGAGTGTTGCTATCACGGCAAATAGTTAATTCAGCTTCCACGCATCCTCGCGCAGAGCAGATTCTCAGAATAATGGTTTTTGGCAATATCAGAGCAAGAGATCTTTTATATACGCATTTTATCCCGTGCAAGCATTTTCTGAGGAGCTCAGGGTTTCCGGAGTCGCTAAATATTGGCTTGATGACCTTCCATTATTGAAAGAATAACATGTGTGTGCCTGATGTGGTCATACGTTTCGCCTTTTGCTTGGGCACGATGAAACCCACACCGGCATTCAAACCCAACTAAACAGAGTCAGTGATTTAGATTTTCACTTCTCGACAGCAGATGAAAATATGTAGCCTAAATAGCTTGCTGCATGTTTTAAAGGGATCCTAGATTTCTTTTAATGGCGACTGCCAATAAAGCCTAAAATAAAGCCATAAAATGTCTGGATCTCATAATAATATTGGCAGTTAGCCTATTTTTAGTCCCTAATGACTATCCATCACTAAGATTTTCTCCAGAGTCTATGTAAGCACCTTTCTATTATTTTCTGAATGTGCCCAATGCATTATAATTTTTCAATATCCATATTATTCTCGTAAACTTTCGATGACACTACAGTTTTGAATGCTTTTGAATCACCAAGATGTTTGACATATTGAGCAGCGTACAATATTTGAGATCGGCTGAAAATGTTTTGACACTAATGACCTCCATTCCCCCACTTGCTTCTGTAATTAGCAGTGCATGTATTTAAGTCAAGTGACTGATTTTTTGGGAGGACTTACAAAATTTAGACATAATTGCTGTGTCTGTCACTTCATTTGTATCATCACTTGCCGTTGTAATAGCTTCATTATGTGATAGAAAGTTTCTGTCATGTTCCATCCAAGGCAACGCACAAAGCTCTGTTCTCATCATTAATTAATATGCATTCTTCAGCTGTCTCTTTCATTTGTTGGGTACATACTAGTTCAGATGCAGCAGTCAAAACGTTAATGTACTGGGAAAATTCTGTGGCTGGGAGTAGTTAATTCTTTACTCCTCACAGAAATATAAAAGCTGTTCAACCGTTTCTTGTATAGAGAAAAGCATATTCAAATATCATGTTTAAATCAAACATATTTACTTTTGATTCGGTGCTTTCTCATTTATGAGTATTAAAAAATTCGAAAGAGTTACAGTTCATGTAAAATATTTGTAATTTGGATGCAATGCCGGGCACCTGGTGTTTAACAGAGGTAAACAGGCATATGTCCCGCGTCCTCCACTGTCCAGTGGCAACAAATCCTTGGAGCCGCACGAGGCCGCATCGAGAGTTTATTTAAGATTTAAGAAAGGTTTACAAGGGCAATTGTTTGACATAAGTTGATGGATTACATATGTGGTTGAGGTGACATACAAATTTCACTAACACAGATAACATTTTTACGTTTTTAAACAAATGCTTACCTCTTGGGATTCTAAATTAACTAATTAGCTATATATAATAGCAATAAAATAACACTAACTAGTAGCAGTCTAAGTGTAAAGATACGTGTTTAAGCGTAAAGTGCCGAGATACGACAGAGATTCGGCAAAAAGAACGCACTACCAGCAATAAAAACAGTTGCAGTTAACTTTACTGTTGCCAATTCTTCAATCATAAAGAAGTACAAAACGTTCAACAGAGATAATAATATATGCAGAGCATTAACTGAGTGGCTATGTGGGAAGAGAGGTTTGTTTACATTAGCTAGTTGTTTAAATGGTGTAAAAACTGTGAAGTGCCTTCAAAAAGAATGACAAATTACAAATTCTAATACTTCTATTGTTTTGATAAACAAGTGTGATACGTCTTTGGAAATATAAAACTATTTAATGCAACTAAAAAAAAAATCTATGTTTTGGTCGAATTTCACTTACCTGGTTCCCTTAGAAAAAGTTTAATGATCTTAAAAGATTAAACAACAAGCATTTCTATTCAGGTTATCGTGAAAAGTGTTAAGCAATATTTTTTCTCCCAAAATAGAGATTTTATTCCTAGAATCTTATAGAATTCGTGTTCTAGAAAACACAAGCAAGCTTCTGCTTTGACGCGCAGTCATTTCGTAATATTCTTTGCATTCATTAAAAATGAAAAACACTTTGAATTTTTTGTACGATTACCAGATTATGATTCTAAAGCAGAGAATATTAGTAACATATTTTGAGGCTTTCAAAATTTATAAATTACCTGTGTGAAAATTATTTCAGCATATCAAACTTAACAAACCTATAAATTAAAGACACGAATAAATCAGAAATCAGTATTCTTGACTGTAATTTAAGGAGAAAAATCAACTTTGAATTATTCCAATTAATTACGCAACTGATCTGTCACTGTTAATTGAACATGACTTCAAAAATCGCAAATTTTGAAATTAAATATTCTGGTCAAGTTTCTATCATACGGCAGTCAAACTTCTTATAAATTTATTTTTTCGTAACGCTTTTCTCGGACTCAGAGTCCTGCTTAAGTAAGTAGTTTATGGGCTACAAGTAAAGTAACACTTCCGACTGAATTTTACTGAAAAAATTAATCAAGTCTTTAGACTCTTACAGCTCTAGAATTACTACTACTATTTTCTGCAATATTTGGATTACTAGGGAAGAATTCGCTATCTTTCATAAATCAAGCGGCCAGTGGGTGACAGAGCATAGCTGCATGCTTCGTCCGCTGAAGTTTCTGCACAATTTCTTCTCTCGCTCGCAACTCGGTCACTCTTGTTTCGGAAACACAGTTTCGGTCTAGCTGCTTTGACAGCATCGAGGATTCAATTTTGGAATACGCAATTCGTGTATACATGGAGATAGATTTGAATCTAGCTATATATCAATCATATCGTCTGTTTCACGCACGAGCGTGAAGTGTTGGAATAATTCTGAAATAATATTAAATGAGATTTTTCCCCCTCTTTCCCGAAATAATTTTTTTGCTTCGCATGAAAGAAAGATAGATTGCTAAATAGATATTATGGATATCGGCTTCCTAATTAATGGATTTGAAAAATAGATATATGAATGGTGTATGTAGCTGGATTTTCTGAGGATAATGTTGTTGCAAAGTTTGCATATTTATTTGACTGTATTTTAATTTTTGTTTAGTTTTACAGGCCCTTTTTATTTATTGGACTAGCAGCTAGAGTGGCCAGCTCTCTAAAGTAGTTTTTATAAAAAAAGAAAAATATATGCATGATGATTTTAACGAATCCAGCTTGTGCCATTTCATTTGCTTGTGTCATGTGTGCATTTAATATTTCTAGTTAGACATCTCACGATTTAAATGCATTTTTATTTAAATGAAAAAGACTGAAAGATGTAGGAAGAAAATGTACAAAAAAAAAAAAAAAAAAATGTAGAAAAAGCATTCGTAAGAGCTGCGATCATTGCTTTTAAATCACTTGGTTTGCAATGGGATATCAAGCTTACACTTTAATAATTTTCACTTTAGTGTCTAATTTAGCGTTAGTGTACACTTATAGCAGCACGATGGTGCATGGAAGATAAAAGTATTTTATTTAGGGCAGTGGCAACACGTTGCGTTTAAATATCGGAATTTGTTGATTAAAATTGAACCTTGCTTTTTTCCCAATGGCAACAGTCTCGAGGCAGTGGAGATAAAAATATTTTATTTAGAACAGTGGTGTCACTTCCTCTCAAATCGTTGAGTTTGTTAGTCAAAAAGGCATTAAATTGGTATAAATATGAAATAAATTAAACTGGAAATTTAAAATTCTAGCTTCGTGGTGCATTGAAATATAGAAATGTAAATGAATGAAAAACTTTTAATTATATCAGCAATATTTGTGAAATCTGTGACTTTAAAATAGGATATTTAAAATAATGTTTCTCGATGAGATTCAAAGCTGAAAGTTAACAAGCATACTTTTAATGAATCTCTAATGATTCATACTTAATTTGGAGTCTCTTCTTGTTATCTATTTGAGGCAAGTCCCCAGGGACAGACGGAGCTATCCGAATAGGCGCCGATGCCTGTGACATTGTTTTGTAATCTAACTATCGATGATTTAAAGAATATGAAACATTATAATATCATAATAGGAGAGGGAAAGAAATGTTTTAGATATGCCGGCAAATTTAGGCAACTCTTCTCCTAGATTAAGACCTTCACATGGACATAATGGTATCCACATACTGCTTTCTTCATAGTACTAAACTTCAAAAGGGTGCCATCAAATTTGTTCTATTATGCCAGGGCTCTCTCATGTCTTGGCGAGCGAATAGTAGGTTTGATAAAGTCACCGACACCACTGTGCCCATTCGTGAATCTTCATCATAATTTAGGAGTAATCAACAATGGGTGTCCCGGCACGCTTGATGAAGGTTGCTTTCTTTGCGATACCGAACTTTTTAAAGATGCCAGAAAATTTGTTCCTTTATGTCAGGGTGCTATCGTGTCTTGGCGAGCGACGATCAGCTTGAAAAGGTGCCAGTAACCTTTTGTAAACGTTCTGACTGTTCGCCAAATTTAAGACTTTTACAGGAGTAATTTTCACATGAGTGTCCCGGCACCCTTGACGAGGTTTCTTTTCTTCAGGATACCGAGCTTCATACGAGGGCCGTAAAATTTGCTCCTTTATGTCAGTGTTCTTGTGTCTTGGAGAACGATGACCAATTCGAAAATGTGCCGACACCCTTTGCAGCTTGTGTACCAAGTTTAAAACTTTTACACAAACGACCTTCACATCGGTGTCTCAGCACCCTAGACGAGGGTTGCTTTTTTTGCGATACCAAACTTCCTACGGATGCTAGTAGAACACTTCCCTTCATATCAGGGTGCTGTGTTTGGCCAGCGACGATCAATTTGAAAAGATTCCAGCACCCTTTTTGCCCTTTTCTGACTGTTAACCAAGTTTAAGATATTTATACAAGTGACCTACACACAGGTATCCCGACAGCAGAGGATTTGCTTCCTTTGCGATACTAAAGTTCAAAAGTGTGCCGTCAAATGTGTAATTTTATGTCTGGGCTCCCTTGTGTCTTTGCGAGGGATGATCGACTTGATAAAGCGTTCGTGGCCCAAGTTTAAGAGTAACCTTCACATGGGTGTCTCGGTACCCTTGATGAATGTTGCTTTCTATGCGATAACGAACTTCGAAGGATGACAGCAAATCTGTTCCTTTACACCCGGGCGCTCTGTCTTGACGAGAGATGGTTAAGTTGAAAAGGTGTCAGTACCTTTTGTGCACATTTATGATTAATTACCAAGTTTGAGACTTTTACACTCGTGACTTTCGGTTACAGCCGAAAACCATCGCGGGCGAAACCGTCGCGGAGAAAACATCGCAGTTCTAAAATATCGGGGTACAAAATATCGTGATCGAAAATAAAGCGGTTCTAAAACTTCGCAGTTTAAAAAACATCGTCGTCGAAATTAAAGAGGTAAAGAATTAAAGTACCTACAAATCATCGCATGACGATAACATCGCACACATGCGTTTTTCAAATCGCATAGTGACATATTATGTAACTGACTTTTGTCATAACTAACAAATCGACATCTAAAAAATTGATTGCTCGCTATACATGAAAATGTAAATGACATTTTAAAAATAAAAGGGAAACAAAACAACATGTAATTTTCATTAAAACAACATCAGATTAACAAATGTGGAAGAAAATAATTTGATCATTAACTAAGTAATTTTTATAGAGGTAACCTCATGCAGTAATTTATCTTTCTTTTTCTAATCATTTTTAGACTATATTTTTAATGAAAAATTATCAGTTAAACTTCATAAAAAGCGCAATTTATTAATGACCTTTGCTAATTAACTATATAAATTTTAAATTCTACTAAGCTTTTTAAGTTGCATTAATTTTCTACTCATTTTCAATTTTTAAATGCTTAAGTTTCCTTCTTATTTTTTCAACAAAAATTTATTAGCTCCTTCAAATATATAAAATATAGAAGTAAAAGAATCCATCTTTCCTTCTTGCGCTCTATGATCTTTATACGAATCCAGCTATGATGAATCCAGCTCTCTATGATCTTGCGCTCTATGCATTTACAACTTTCAGAAACTGAAAACGCGTCTGTGCGATGTTATCGTCATGCGATGATTTGTAGGTACTTTATTTCTTACCACGATATTTTTTGACGACGATGTTTTTAAACCGAAGTTTTTGAACCGCTTTATTTTCTTCTACGATATTTTGTCCCACGATGTTTTCTTTTTTGCCATGTTTTCTCCCACGATGTTTTGTACCACGACGTTTTCGCCTTGCTTTGTTTTCTCCGCCACGCTTTCGTCCGCGACGTTTTCGGCGGACACTTAACCTTCATATGGGTGTCCTGGAACACTTGCCGAGGGTTCGCTTTCTTTGCGATAGCGAACTTCATAAGGGTGCCGTCAAATTTGTTCCTTTATGTTAGAGCGCTCTTTTACCTTTAGGAGCGATGATTGATTTGAAGAAGGTGCCGACACATTTGCGCTCGCTGGTGACTAGATTTTTACACGGGGAAACCTTCAGATGGATATCCCAGCAGCCTTGACAAGGGTTGCTTACTTCAGGATATCAAGCTTCATAAGCGTGCCATAAAATTTTTTCTCTTATGTCAAGGCGCCCCTGTGTCTTCGTGAGCAATCGCCCACTGCTGTCGCCCATTAGCTGTTCTGTTGGAGATTGTTTAAGAATTTGCCCGAGCGACCTCCATATGAGTATGTCGGAACCCTTCATGAGGGTTACTTTCATCACGATGAAGAATTTCATAAGGGTGCTGAAAAATTTGTTTCTTTACACTAGGGTGCTCTTGTCATCGTATGAATTTAAAAGGTGCCGGTGACTTAAAAATTTGCTGGCGCATTTTTTCAAGTTACCGATCATACCAATCCTATCCGCATACGTTCATTCATCGTTAATTGAACTGTATATGCAAAATAATGCATTTATAATTACACAATTTTGGTATTTTTTCTCAGATCAAGGCAATCAAAAACGCCGAAGGAGTGGCGAGCAGACCAGAACCGAAGGCCAAGACAGGTATTGTGGATCTACAAATCACCGACAGGCCTTGGCTTGACTTACAGACCAGCTACGCAGCCATTGCAGCTAATTACGAATCTCTGGCTGAACTCATAACCGCGGTAAGAGTGTCAGGAAACAGATTTTAAACTAGAGACAGTTGTATGTCAATCAATTGAGTGATCTTATTATTAATTTGGTTTTACTGTTACTTTCGTTAACTCTCGCCAGTATAAAAATTAGTACATATAATGTTTCTCTTATATTTCCCGCAAACAGCGGATATTGAGTTTCTGTTATCGTATTACAGACGATGCAATCGCGGTTAATATTATCATTCGGATATTGTTATCGAAGTGCTCAAGTCCCGCCAGCTTGTATACGAAAACGTGAAAAATACATAACTTATTCTGATCAACAGTTGGTTAGTAGGATCAAACTATTATAGAATAAATTTTTTAAACTAAAATAAAGTCGCGAAACAAAGTTAGACTTAATTTTAAAAATTTCCTAGCGACAGAAAATTATAGCCAAGTGAGGGATGAACTCGCCAAACAGCTTGGTTTCGATTTCAGTCAACCATTTAAAATTGGGGAAAATGTAACCTTAGTGTGACGTAGATTTTGAATCACGCTATGGACTTTGAGAGCGATAAGTTTCAAGTCTTGCTTCTACAGGAACCTTCTGCAGAATTTTTTCACTTTGAAGAGAAATCACTAAAAACGTCTATGACAAACTAAGATTACTTTTTTGCTTAATTTAAAATTTAATGTTCATTCGGTTAATGTAATCAAAATAGCCGTGGACAAAAGTATTCACAACTGAACAACGCCTACTGTAATTTAGATAGATCTATCAGATGGGCTGAAGGTCGCTTCCATCGCCCATTCGAAAATAGAAGTGATAGAACTATAAAAAGAAAGGGAACTTTCAGTCTTTTAAACTTTGCGTGAATTTTGCTTGCGTACTCAGCTGTGAAAATTTTCAACAGTCTTAGATACTTTAATTTATTTATGTCAGTTCTCCTCTCACTTTTAGCATTATAATACAATTCTTTATTTCTATAGTAGAGTGAAAAGTAGCTCGACAAAATAAGGACAGCCTATTCTGCTAGTATTAAATTAAATGTTATCACTTTTTGCTGAGCATTGCTGTGGATGGAACTGAGGATATTAGGCTTGGGTAAAATAAAACTAATACTTTTGTAATCATTTTATGTTAAAGTCATTTTGAACTCGTACATAAACTCATTCCGTTTTTAGTAGAGGCGAAATATTTAATATGTAACATGTAATAATTTATTGTATTAAACAGTATTTCAGTTCTCAAACCAAGCAACTGCAATTTTAAGTTTCATAGAAAAAAACTAAAAATTTTAGGTGTTATCAAATGTTAGAATTTTGAGAACTAGCTGAGCTATCTGCAAAACAGCCGAGTGAAAAAACAAGGTCTAAAACTTTTCAACTGAAAATGCTCAGCTGAATATATTTTAAAAATTAAATTTACATTAATTTATATCACTTACATCAGCTATGTGGTTATAATATTCATTCATTCATTCATTCATTACAAATTATGCCGAAATATTGCATTTGATGCAACGTGTCCGGCTCATGACAAGTATGCCCGAGGGGCACATGACATATTAGTGTCTGGACCGAGTGATAGGAGGCAATAGGAAATGGGAGAAAAAGGGGGTGACCACTGGACGCCACAAGCAGAGAATCGAACTTAAAGCCCAAGACCAGGAGAGGCAGCAAGATGTGGAGTGTCAGAGTTAAAGTTGTTCATGATAGGTATGCTAAGAAAAAACATGATATGTTTGCAAATACAATTTTATTACATAAAATAAATACAAAAGAAAGTACAATAAGTGAGCATATACAAATACAAAATACAAAAGAATTCGAGTTGCAATACGAAAGTTTATGTACAATATATACAGAAAAGATGATGTTGTATGAAAAGACTGATTAAGTAGGAAAATTAGTGTCCCTGGTGAGGAAGGCCGCTAAAGGTCTGATTTTGACATCTTCAGGAAACACGGTATAGTCGAAAACTTTAAAGTATTTCATGTGCGAGCAGTTTCTCGCCTTATCAAAAAATTTCCGATTTGCATTATGGAGGAAATTCTCGATATTCTCTATTTTTAAATCTCTATGGAGAGTTTCACTAGAAACATAAAAATGAGCATTCGTGATCTGTCTTAAAAATTTGTTTTGTGTGATCTGTAATTTCTTGAGGTCATTTTTCGAATAAGTCGCCCAGGCTGGAGACGCGTAAGAAAAGATAGGCCGAATAATGGTAGTATAAATATGCCTCTTTCTTCGTAAGTCAAGTTTTGAATTTTTTCCGATTAATGGAATAAGATCTCTGATAGCCGCAACTGTTTTGCCTCTGACTTTTTGGTTATAATATAAAAGCGAAATAAATATATTTATTATTAAAATGTATAATCTGACTGGTTGGTAACGGCTCACTTTGTTAAGTAAGAATACGAATCTGAAAGGCAAATTAAAGATCTTTGTTACATCGAAAGAGATACTTGGGAAACTGGCTATTTGCCAAGAGATGTAAAAATTAAGTAAAACATGTTACATTAAATGCAATAGGAATACTTGTCAGGTCACGCGAATGATAAATGTGACGGTAGCGTAATGTAACGATCTAAAAGCTGTTTGAAATACTTTATTGAAAATGTTTCTATTATTATTTTTACTTGTCTTGCCTAAAATTCAAAAAATAAATAAATAAATAATTTCCGTTTTTTTATTCTTTTTCAGTCATTGAACGAGAGTGTTGAATATTTCCAAAAAGACGGAAAGTCTCTGAAGTGGAAAGACTTCAGCTTAGAGAGCGAGAAATGTGTTCAGATCACGCAAGACCGGTCGGTATACAACGCAGTGTACAAGAACCATGGCCCAGACAAAGTAACACTGATGGTAAACCTTTTCCCCTTTAAAAAGGCATAATATGTGAAAATGAAGACTTATTTCGCAGCCTGAACTGCCATTGAGCAAAGTTTCCATCGCATATGCTTTGACGAAATTTGGCGACAATTAAAATTAATTTGGCGAATATTAAAAAGCAAAATGGCAACCTTCAAAAAATGAGAAACCTCGGCATGAGAACATCAAAAGTAACATTTATTGAGCAATTGTAACATTTATTTACATTTACTTGATTCTCATGGCTTCCTTTATCAAAACGGCGCCAATACTATCGCCATGTTTAAACTACCCGCGTATATTTTTTTTAATGGCCATTTTAGGCTTTACGCTTTTACTAAAGCCAGAAGCGGCGGTCATTTTATTATAAAGGCACCTAACAGGCGGCCATCGTTATCTTCTGTGAAGGAGAAAACAATTTTACATCTGTGCCTTCTCCGGGATTCGAACCCGGACCCTTCGGTATGGCAGTCCGACTCTTCGCATGTAGCTTGGGGCTTCCATATCTCCGCGATTTCTTTTAATATGGCATTAAATGGCTTATCTTTCCCAAAAAATTTCCGTCACATGAATTCGGAAAGATACGATTCTAGATGATGTCAAGCCGTACCCCTTTGCATTTTGTTTTAACAGATTAAATGTGGAATAACTCAAAATGTTATTCCACATTTTGAGTGTGAGCATCCGTTGGCTGTAACCAGCCTTTTCAAGCTCGCCTGTCTTATAGGCTCGCCAACAATTTGAATATATTGTCGACCCTTCCACTATATGGTCTTGGCGAGCCGTTCTTCTTTGTCTTTTGTTTCGCTATTTGGCCGCAGCTTCCCTATAAATAATTTCATTATGCGGCCAGTTTTGCACTTTTGCTCAGTATTCGTACAAAATTCTGTTCTCCTTTAATTCCTGCTTCTTTTTCAGTTGATATCAAGTTAAATGCAATTAATATTTTAGAGGGAAAATTAATGAGGAAGAAAAACGATATTACGAAGAACCGATTCAAATTCAAAAAGTTAAAGCTGTCAACATTTAAAAAGGAAATAATTAACAATAGAACGATACCACGAGGTAAAAAATGAACTTGAAAGTAATAATAATAAAAAATGTGGCGCATAAAAATATCACAAAAATTACTGGTTCTTTTCTAATTTATTATGAGTTAAAATGTTAAACATTTTAGAAGAAAAAGAATTACTGAATCGATGATATTATGCCGACAATATCGCACTCAAACCAGTCGGAAGATCAAACCGGTTGCAGGTTTAAAATCTGGGAATTCTATATACCTGTCGATTATTCTTCCGATTCTGATGATAGGCAGAGGTGGCCACTTTAACCCTGAGCTATCGTAATACTTTTCCTGAACAGTAGCTGATAGCTCGTAGTTAATCTGGCCGGCGCGGGGAGCTATAAAACATTGGTGCCGATGCATTTTTTCAAGTTACTTTTCTTTCGCCACAGCGTAAGAATGCTATGGCATACAGGCGAAAAGTTGCTGGCATCGTTATGAAGTTCAATATCGTGTGGTAACCGTCATCAAACTGCCGAAAAGCACACGTGAATATCTTAATCTTGGCGAACAACTATCAACTTGCACAAAGGTTTCGACTTTCTTCAGTTTGACAACCGTTCATCCAGACGCAACGGTGCCCTGACACAGAGACACAAATGTGTTCAGAGGTATAGCTAGGGTTTTTAGCCCTCGGGAGCAACTGAAGATTTTGCGCCCACTTCTGTTTACCAAGAACAACATTTTATTCTAAATTTCTTAATTACAATTTGGCGCCCTCTCGATGTTGCGCCTGGGAAGAGATTCCCCCCTTGCCCTAGCTACGCCACTGAATGTGTTGGCACCCTTATGAAGTTCGCTATCGTGAAGAAACCAGCCCTGATGAAGGCTGCCGAGAAGCCCGTGTGAAGGTCTTACTCTTAGCAAACAGTAGAAAGGTGCAGGCACCTTTTCAAATAACAGTCTCTTGTCAAGACACAATATTGCCTTGACATAAAGCAAATGTGTTGGCACCCTTATGAAGTTTGGTACCATGAAGAAAGCAACCCTCATCAAGGTTACAAAGGCATTCTTGAAGAGTAATAGTTTATTTGCATGAAGGTGTCGGCATCTTTAACATTTTATTAAATCATCAAGTGGCGGGAAGCGAAAATTCCTTGCTTTTATGCAACAGAGTAAAAAATTAGATCCATGAATTATGAATTTTCCACGATTTAACGATAATGGAGTTAAGACGTTCAATTCAACGCAGTTACCAATCTTTCTATTTTTTTTTTGGAAAATGTCGTTGATTTGATGTGCAATTTCAAATGCCATGGAGAAAACAAATGCAGTGCAGTAATGATGACATGAGTTAAAATCGCTAATGGGGGTGCGGTTGGCAATGGCAATTGAAATGCTTATTTGAAAGCAACAGACTAAGCTATTATCACGTTTATGGTTGTACCTTATTGTAAACTAATCTTTCAGTTCATTCTAGGTGGACATCGTGCCGTCAGCTGCCTACTCCGTACATATATTAATTTACTTAATGCTTTTTTTTTTGTTTTGTTTTTTTGTTGCTGTTTTTAATTATATTTAATATTATGATTAATCCAGCACTCATTTAATGTATTCCACAATTTGTAATGTATTTGATCATCTTTACATCTGTACCTGATTATTATAGCACATCCTTAATATATAACTGTTTGCCTAACATGTACGATAATAGTGAAAAGTGTTCCGCTTAGCCTCAGCAATCCCGTCCATGCACCTTCATTCCATATTCTGGTCCTTATATCAATGTTCCTCGTTTCGTGGCCAATCCCCGGAGGACACAGTACTAAGCTCTTTATTTATATTTATTCATGCATTTATTTTTAATTCCATCGACGGGATTAAACAGGCTGAAAAGCACCTAATCCAGTGGGCCAGCTGTTCCGTCGATGGTGAAAAGAAAGAAAGTTCATTCTAGGTAGAGGGTATCAGTTTATATCTAGCTTTTACAAGTGTTGCGTTGTGTTGTATGTGCAACTCAAATTGTCGAATGAGAAGAAAAGAAGAAAAGAAAATTTGAAAGGATTGAGATTTTAATGTCACACCAGAGGATTTGTTAAGGTTTTTTTATGCTCTCGCTGAGCATCGCAGGTTACTCACCAGCTCTTGGACTCACTCCTGCTAACACATTTTTTTTTTTTTTTTTTTTTGTCTTTCTAGCTGTACTATTAAGACTTGCATCTGTACTATTATTAAGGTGCAGCTGTACTATTATTATTGTGACTTCTTCGCATTTACGCCACATAAAATTCAACACCAAAATCACAAAATATTGTTAACTGCATATGGGTTAGTAATGGATTGAATGCACACAGAACCAATGATAGCTTGATAAAATTTGTTTTCCGAAAGGAAATACTTTACAGTTCTGGAAGTTTTCACAAAAGTACTTGTACAGCTCTTCTCGGTATCACAGAGCGCAATCATAGTTACCACTTCAAATTACCAAATTCCTCGTCCAAGCGTAGCTCCAACGTGCCGGAACCGAAAGTTCAGCCTTTTGTTTTCGGCAAAGTTTGAAGAATATCTGTTGCGTCTGATATAAGAGAAGCGATGTGATGGCAGACCGTAGCTGGGAAATCAATACCATTTTTGCCTGCATGATAGAGAACTGAATCTTTTACACTTGCCAAGATCCCTTTCCATCATTCCTGCAACGCTTTAAACAAGGTCAGGAAGTATAGGTGTGAATTTAAAGGTATCAGAATTGTGTACAGCTGTAATTATGGATTTCTTCAAGTTGTCAGCTGTCTTGACGACAGCAAAAACTCTTTCTCCAATTTGTTTTTCGGTAGCAAAAACTTTTCCTTCCGTTTTTTCCAACTTTATTTTCAACCCTGTCTATTCTGCCTTTCTTAGCTTCAAATTTGTTTTCTATTATGACAGTAATTTCTCTTTTACTTTCCTTTTGAATTGCTTCAATCTTTTCTTGGCCCACATTCATCTCTCCTTTAACAGACATGACGGCCTCTTCCATCTTTTTACGTACGTACGGGTTTCATAATTCACAAGTGCACATCAGTATCGCCACTGAGGGAGGGGTTTCAAAACTGGACCAATGAGCTTCTGTTGCTCTTGTTACGTTGTATCTTTGAAACTGTGGATATGAGAGCATATTGTTGTTGACGTTTTATTTACAATTGTTTTGCAGTTATATATATGTGGCGCAGAAATGCTGCTAATCTCGTGGTGCTTTTATTTTATTAATTTGTTTAATCGTCAGCATGTCGCTTTCATGAAACTTATTACGCACTGATATTTGGATCAATGTTCGTCATATATTAACGCTCTTTATATCGAGAAAATGACTCAAGATACAATTAGCCTCGAATATTATGCGTTTATTAACGCTTCTGGATTAAAAGAATTCAAGTGTATATATATATATATATATTTTGAGATGAGAATACTTGGAATTATTACAGTGAATCTAGTATTTTCTTATCTCAATGCTTGCATTCCGTTGATTTTTAAAGTGTAACATTCAAAATATACATTGTGAATGATCTGGTTATACCTATTGCTAACATAAAAAGTTACATATCAATAAATTAAAAATATTCGTTGTGAATAAGATAATTCATTCTTTTTGAGGAGTATTTTTTATGCAGGTCATTTAAGAATGAACACTTTTTAATGCGAAATTTAACACACTAAATGTGTAGGAAAGCAAATTAGGAAAGTTCACTTTGAATAAAACTGTGCAATGGCTATTATTATAGAACATATTTTTCATATAGGCTGCAATAAAAATTGCTAATACTTCTACTATTTACATATGTAATTATGCTTATATCTGATCTAACTTCGGACTGAAACTTTTCACAAGAAGTCTACGATGCTTTGATTATTTTGTACAAGAAATGAAGTGGTAAAACATTTTCAAACACCATGCTTAAAGCACGGCAAAGGTCATTGTGAAATGACAGAAGTATTATTGGAAGCCCATTGGTCGATTCTAGAAACTACTCCCTCTGTGGCTATACGGATGTGCACTGACGAAATATGCATACGGGTTCGTAAGGAAGTGAATGCACACAGAACCGATGATAGCTTGATAAAATTTATTTTCACTAAGGAAACATTTTATGGCTCCGAAAGTTTTTACAAAAGTACTGGTACAGCGTTTTTCAGTATGAAAGAGCACAATCAATAGTTACCACTTCAAATTATTAAGAACGTTAAACACAAGAAAGTTTCAAATGCGTATCTCTCACAGTTATCTTTCAGTACTCTATGTTATTTCAGTACTCTCTGAGCTGAACTCTCAATTAAACTGATACTCTTTCCGGTCTGATATAGTTTTTTCCCATCAGCAAAGAAATGTTCAGTACCTTCGATTTCTTGAAATTGCTGCAAGGCATGTATGGTTACAGTTTCACAGGACCGGATCCAAATGTCGCCAAATGGTCTCCATTTATGGTGATTTTCGGTGATTGATTGCCAAATTTGGCGACAAAAATTACTCACCAAAACCATCGCCATTTGGCGAGACAGACATTTATCCTCAATGTTAAACAGACTTGCACTTGTAACCTTATATATTCCTGTGAAGTTTCATTCTTGATGTTACAGCATACGGGAACTATTACAATTTACATATAATTTCACTAAAATTACTTACATATATACAAAATCCTTAACAATATTTAAAAACGGTGTACTTTAGAATCCCTGAGGTACCGAAAAAACTGCCACTTTTTTTTTTTTTTTTTTTTTTTTTAAACTAGCCACTCTAGCGGTTAACGCCTAAAAGCGTTAACATTAAAAAAGTGCATAATGATTTCAACGAGTCCAGCTAGTTTCATTTAAAAAAATATATTTAATATTTCCAATTAGACATCTCGTGATTTAAATGAATTTTTTATTTGAATCAATCAGATTTAAAATTTTATTTTAAATATTTTATTCTTAAAAATATTTTAAGAACTGTGTTTATTGCTTTTCGATCCCTTGGTTTGCTTTCCGGTGACAGAAAAATTAAATTTGAAAGTTAAATATTTTACGCTTTACTGACTGGCAAAATATGTGAGCAGATAATAAGTATTATATTTGGGGCAGTGGCAACACATTGCTTTCAAATAACTGAATGATGTGGGTTAAAACTGAAAGAGAAATATCTAACGTTTTGCCAAATTGCAATAGTCTGGGGCGCCGGAGAAAAAACAAAGTTTTATTTCGAACAGTGTTTCTACTTCTCGCTTTCAAATCACCGATTTTGTGAATAAAAATTCTTTAAATCTGAACAGAATGTGAAAAAAATCAAAAACGAATTCAAAATTCAAGCATCGAGGCGCCCATGTTCGGCTGGAGGACTGCATGTTTTAAAAATTTACGTGGCTCTAGTTGCCCTCATTTTTCCAGAAGACGTGGAACATACAGAGTCTTCAATGTTTATTTTTTTTTAATGTTACATGTTGATAACATTTACCGGCAACAATCTGAAAAGTGATTCAGACACAAAAGTAATGCGGAAAGTAAGTTTCGAGTCTAATAGTGCTAACAAATCAGTATAACACTGAAAATGTAATTGGATGCCTTTCGAAATTGGAGAAAGGGCAAAGCATTAATAAAATTGCCATGTATTTTAAGTGTTATACCAAATAATATGAGTTGTATATTATTCATCCCGTCTTCCGTAAAACTCGACATCATCTTAATCCACACTAAGTCGACTTTGCGAGACTCTGCTGTATTTCGTAATTAACATTTGCAAATAAAATTCCAAAACACAAGTGTCCGAAAACAAAGGTGAGCTACACATCCAATTCATCAACTTCTTCAGATTGCAAGTTCTCAAATTTTTCAGCTATAGGGTGCCCCAACGAAAGCGCCAGATTTAATAAGCCTCCCATAATATTTTTTTAAGAAAATGGAAAACAGTTTTACGTATTTAAAACAGGCAAATGTTCCGACTTGAGAATTCAAATTCTATCTGGCAATACTGCTATTTTATCACTATCAGTTTATTTTACAGCTTTATTGTAGGCTTAAGTGAGATGGAGCGTTACACAAGAAGCAGCAGCGAGTTTTGATTGTGAAAAAACATTACAGATATGATACAAGAATGAAGAGTGTTATGCACAGACTGCTGTGAAGTTTCGTACAATCTTTGGATGTGAAAGTGCACCTAATGAAACAACATTTCATAGATAAACAAATCTGATGACGCAGGTTCGACAGCAGACCTCGATCCAGTCGGTCTGTTGAAAACGTCGTTCATTACTATACGTGATAGCTTTATTGCAAGCCCTAAAATATTCGAACTCTGAATCCCAGAAAGACTAGCAACGGAAAAACTTAAAACAGGGAATTTAATGTGTCATTATCCAGCCCAGTAGGCGGATATTTCAAAAAGTGATTACGAATTTCATTGAAAGGTTGCGGTGCTGCAGAGCAAGTAGCGGAGGACATATATCAGACATTTTTTTTTTTTTTTTCTCCCCATCCTTAAATCAGAGCATTTACCTGTTGTAAATAAGCAAAAATATTTTCTACTTCCTAAAAATAAACTATTTTATTGGGCATATTGAATCCGCCGCTTTTGTTGGGGCATTCTTCACCTATATTTAAAAAAATAATTTTTTAGTAAAATATGAAGTACTAAAAATATGGAAAAAGTTTCATTATAATTTGATTTCTGTTCAATATTTTTTTTAAACACAACATCATAGTATAAGCTACATTACATAACCTATATATGAAAACTTGAGAATTGTCATGCTAGTATAATTTTAAAATATTTCTTCGTTAATTACCACCGTAACTAGTGTGACAAAGAATTATTACATCCCCCTTGTGTGCTTTCGTAGCGTAAATGATAGCCAACGGAAGATTCACGGTTCGAATCCTGAAGAAAATGTACGTGATTTTCCATGTTTTCGCTTACGTAAGTCTCTACAATATATTTTACTCCTTTGTCTGTTTGTATATGAGAGTATGTGATTATTATGATGATGTATGTAATAAATTTCAGAATCAAAATTTCGTAAAATGATTGCAGATTTATAAACCAACCTTTCATTTCCTCAGGTTGCTTCCAGAAAGCAGATTTCTCCCCAGAATTCACGGAACCAAACCCGTTATCCAGTTTTTGCCAGTTTTTACGATTATGTGCCTAAAAACCGGAATGCTGTGGACAGTTCATCGCCTCACGAATCGGAAATGACGTCGATTTACGTTCTGCACAGATCTCGCATCACGACCGTCAACCACTTCGTCGAAAGAACCTCACTTGACAAAGGAAACCAACACATCCACCTGAGGAACTACTGCTTCGTGCTTCTGCAGCTCATTCACACTCTGAAAAGTCTGCAAGCAGAAGGCATCGAAGACATCGATCTTGACCTCAGTCGATTAATCCTGGTCGTGACCGATGAGGATAAGCCTCCCATGCTGGTGCTCTTCCCGGAAGACAAAGTCTACCTCACCTCATGCGATTCCTTCCACAGTCGGAAAACTTTATGCCAGGCCACCTTACACACAATGCTCCATTTTCTGCATATTCGCGACACAAATGATCTCGGTTTGTGTAAAGTAAATGGCGAACATTTAACTGAACCCGTGGCTCACACTTTTCGGGAAATAGCTAAAGTTCTGAGCGAGGAAAAAGCTTCGTCACTCTCTCAAGCAAAAGGATTCCTAGAGTACATGCTTTGGGGTCCTGTAGATGTTAAGACATCGGACAGCACGACCGAAGAGGCCGTGGACTGTGTTCTACAGAGATGGCTGGACTTGCAGAGGGCACAGATGGTGAAATCCACTATTCAGTACTTACAACTTAAGAAAGACTGCAGAGCGGCACTTCATGTTTACGAGGAATACCAACTGGTTTTCCTTCTGCAAGCTTCGGTGAAAAGTCTCAAGAATGTAATATCAAAATTATAAACAGGCTATGGGGAGTTTCAACATTTGCGATATTGTACAGTCAGATGTATTTTTTTCACCCATAATTAAAATTTACTTATTTTTACAATTTATCTTTGATTAGTTAATATTTCCAATTACATATTCTCGCCGGCAGCGAAAACGTTTATTCATATGTGCTAGTTACATGCCGCTTAATGTGATCGCTGTTATCATTTGGATATTCCATTTGCCGAAGTGTCGCCCATTTGTATATGAAAACAAGGAAAATATGTCGCTTATTGGGATCAATAATTCCATTAATAGACTATCTACCAATAAGTATTTGGAAACCCATGCAAATGCCTATGTCTGCGATCCTGATTTATGTTCTACTCTTCGCCGTTTAATATCTCGTAAGAAACTACATTGGCATTAGTTGCATGCAAGATGCCACAAAGCGCGGAGTTATCTGATTTCGAGAAGGTGTAATGGTTAGGTATCAGAGAAATTGCTGATCCTTAAGGGGAATGCCTAGACAGCTGAATTACCATAAATCAGCAATGCCTATGTGATTCAGAAGTGGAAGGCGAGCGGAATGTGCTAGCCTTCCATTTCTGAATGTGACAATGGGCAGACCCAAAAAACTGGGAGATAAAGAACAATGGGTACTGTCCAGAAGAATTCTGAAGAACCGCACTCAACCGATGGTCCATATACTCTAAGAGTTTCAACAGGCATCCGAGAGTGTTATTTCAATGAATACCATCAGTAAGGAAGCACATCTGCTTGGTTTTCATGGTCATGATGCCGCCCATAAGCCTCTCATCAAAAAGTTCAGTTGCACTGCTCGGTTAATGTGGTGCAAAGCACGTCAACAGGGGACCGTATATCATTTTCTGGAGTGACGAATCAAGGTTCACTCTCTACCGTTCGGGTGGCAGGGTCTGAGTCTGCAGAACGCCTCTTGCCAGAATGCTTTGTTTCCATAGTAAAGTTTGGTAGAAGGGGAATGGTCTGGGGGTATTTCTCCTGCAGTGGACTGGGACCTTGGTCCAAATTCATGACAAGCTCAATGTCGGTGCCTAGTGCACTATTTTGGATGACAGTGTGCTTCCTACGTTGTGAAGGTTTTGAGGGTTGGAGCCATGTTATTTTCGGGGCAACAACGTCAGCTGTCATGTTGGTCTAACATGGAGTGGTTTGGTGACAATGGGGTTAACCGAATGGACTGGCCTGCCCATACCCAAGCCCTATGAAGAGTCGTGTTTTTCATAAAACATGCCCCGGAGAGTTGAGGCTGTATTTGCCGTTTGTGGAGGCTCAAACAACTATTGAATATGAATAAATTTTGTTTTTCTTTTCTATCACAGGTGTCCAAATACTTAGTGATAAATAGTGTATCATCAAAATATTATGGAATAAATTATTTAAACTAACATCACGAAATAAAAGATAAGCTCGCCAAATAAAGTCAAAATAGATCATAAATGTTGCCAAGTGACAGAGAAATGTCGCCAGGTGAGAGGTTAGGTCTCCAAACAGCTTGGTTTTGATTTCAGTCGATCATTTCAAATTAGGGGAAAAGCAAGTTTAGTTTAACGTAGATTTTGAATAACACTATGAATTTTGAAAGACGATCAGATACAAGTCTTTATTTGTTTTAGGAGAATAAAAAATTGGCAGAATTTTTTATATCTCCTTGAAAAGAAAATTCCCTGATGAAACTACAACAAATTAAGATTGCTTTTTCGCTTGATTTAAAATTTTATTGGCATGCTCTCTCCCATTGAGGGATGCCTTTGGAATATTAAGGATACAGGATCGAGCAAATAATTTCCAGAAACGTTATGAACCGTTCATAAATCAGCTTATCAAATGAGTCAAATTCCATTGCTGTTTCGAAGGATATTTTTACTTATCGTTTAATGTTATCATTGGTTAATGCTATAAAAATAACCGCGGATAAAAGTGATCACATTAAGCAGCACCTATTTTATAACTATCATCTGTGACGACTTTTTTTTTTTTTTTTTTTTTTTTTCCGTATTCGTTTACTCAATGTGCATATAATGATATTTTCGTTAGAACATGAATATAGCAATAGTCATGGCCGTTTAACGCTTCTTTATTTTTGGCAAAATATTAGAGATAAAAAGATAATAAATATAAAAGACGAATGACGTAGTTGAATGGGAGGGGCGGTTCGCCTTAAGCAGCACATTTTTAACTTAATTTTTTACGTGAAACATCATTTTATCAGGGTGAGTCAATGTGGATCCTCGAGGCAGGTGAAGAATAATTACATACTAAATTGCCATTTGAAATTCAATTGAGAAGAGAAAAAAAGTTTTTACATTAGATAAAGTATTCAAAGAAATTATCACTTAATTTCAACAGCTATAAAGTTTCGTTGTACGTTTTTACCGTTTCGAAACTTTTGGATGCAAATTACGAATATCAACTAAATTATAGTCACGATTGACATCAATAAAAAAGAATTTCTCGTTTAAGAAAGAAGTATTTCAGAGTTTTATTTCTCTTATTACTAGGGAAATCGAAACAGGAACGTGGAAAGGCAGTCCTTTTAAATTTTTGCAGTTTATTCTAAAACAGCATCTCCAGAACAAAGTTCCAGGTATTGTAATACTCGTGTGAACTTTACTCTATTTTACTGTAAGTGTTGCTAGTTGTTAGAAGCATTTTCTAAATACAAAAATCATGTAAGAAATATTTAAGAACTATAAATGTATGTATCTTGCATTTAAGAAATCTTCCTCTACTGTCTACATAACAGCAGAATCAATCAAATAGACCTCTACAATGCCCTTCATGGTTTTGCGGGGGGGAGGAGGGACAAGAAAAATAATAATATAATTTTTAAATGTTAAAGGGTTTCTTCAAAATAATATAATTTTTAAATGTTAAAGGGTTTCTTCAAATATATACCAAGAATTTTAATTCGTTTCTCTATATGCATTTGACACTTTTTGTAGTTGTTTGTTTGTATATTAAGAGGGCTATACAAACTCAAGAACCGACCTAGGCGGCAAAAGTTCTAACTATGCCACTGAAAAATACACATCTCAATTGTTGCAAGACGCGCTCTCCCGTCTTGAATGATTAATTACACGTACGTTTTAGTACGTTTCCACGTACTAAAAACAATATATCTGAAACAAGCAACAGCATTAGCGGATATGACATTAGCAGCGCAAGCGAAAGAATACGTAGAATTGCAATATGACTGTCAAACAAAGCAATGGTCTAAACTCAAATTACATGCGCGCCAAATGCACGATATGAAAACAGTTAACGAGCCAATTTTTGTTTCAACAATGGAATGAAAAATTTTAGTAGCACAATAAAAAAAATTAATTTTAAATATTTATCAAAATATACACAAACAATAAAAAAATATCAAATTTATATTTTTCTGAAAGATAAAGTTTGTTATAAGATATTTTTGTTGGTTATACTTAATGGTTCAAATATATTGACAGACAGTTAGATATTAAACTTTTAGACTGATGTTTCTTTCAAATATTTCTTTAACATTTTTAATTAATCATTAAATAACTTACTTTAATTTGAACCAAAAACAAATTTGAAAGCTTTTAGCAAATGGTACAAGAGGTAACAATTTCATAGCTTCTCTTCCTTGCTTATCGCATGCCTTTGTGTGGTGCACCTACAGAGCACGTGAAGGAGAGCAAGAAGTCCGGTGTTCGAATCCCTCCGAGTGCAGTACACAATTTCTGCATGACTCTGATGGCGTGTTATTAGATTGCCATCAGAGTTATTAGGTTTAATGACTCTGCAATTAAGTGAATTTTTCTTCGACTCATAAATAAAAATACATATGCTTAAGACACAATAACACGCCGAATAAATACTAATTCAGAAGTCAAACAACAAAAATCAGCGTTATACTTACAAAATTTTCACAGGACTAGTTTCGATGGTTTTACCGAACCATCATCTTCAGCTGCAAAACCGCAAATGAACAAGATAGGAAATAATGATTAGATAAGATAAGAAAGCCTGAACAAGAATAAGCAAGTGGCGCCATCTGTTGGCGAAACCAGAACTAAAACATAATTTCTCTAAAAGCCGAAGGCAAATTTGGATTGGAATTAGGATCGTTAACTAGAACAGAAAGATTTTTATGAATGTGAACTGCCTCTAGAAAATCCAGTTCTCCAATGGAAGATGTTTTTTGAATAATCCAGTTCTTTCCATTGGAGAACTGGATTTTCTCTCTTATTTTAGGAGATTATAAAAATTCTGTTGTCATTCCCTTCTTTCCATCAATTAGCTATAAAGTTGCACATATTTGCAGAAATTTAACTTTCGGGTTGTTTACTCTCCCATCAATAAAATTCCAACTTCTATACTCAAGGACCCCATTCCGGATATGAATTCCTGGGGTATTTATAGGATTCCTTGCCAGTGCGGTTTAATTTACATTGGCCAAACTAAGAGAGCCTTAAAATTTCGCGTCAAAGAACATGAGGCATATGTTAGAAAAAAGGAAACACAGAAGTCTTCTGTTGCTCAACATTGTTGGTCCGAAAATCACACTTTCAATTTTCTGCTGCCAAAATTATTCAAAAAACATCTTCCATTGGAGAACTGGATTTTCTAGAGGCATTTCACATTCATAAAAATCTTTCTGTTCTAGTTAACGATCCTAATTTCAATCCAAATTTGCCTTCGGCTTTTAGAGAAATTATGTTTTAGTTCTGGTTTCGCCAACAGATGGCGCCACTTGCTTATTCTTGTTCAGGCTTTCTTATCTTATCTAATCATTATTTCCTATCTTGTTCATTTGCGGTTTTGCAGCTGAAGATGATGGTTCGGTAAAACCATCGAAACTAGTCCTGTGAAAATTTTGTAGGTATAACGCTGATTTTTGTTGTTTGACTTCTGAATTAGTACATATGCTTGTATTTAAGTAATTATAAATTTCTTTATTTCTTACTATAGCTTGAGACCTGATGGCATTTCAATTTTGATAAAGTTTGCGCCCTTGGAGAGAAATTATCTTCATAACAGAATGTAGACAGTCATTGGTCAATCGAGTACCTTGCCTATTAATTTTCAACTGCGAGGAAAAGCTGTTCACAT